TATGTTCCCCTTCATGTATTAGTAATATAATTTAGTTCTATCATACTATGATGATTATTTGTCATCTTCCATATTATGTAAAGAAAAAATAGGAGCAAAAAAAGTAAACTAATTTGTCATATTCCACATTTTGCTGAGAAAAAAAAACTGATACTTTAATGTAATAAAAAAGAAATAGTTAACCAAATAATATGAAACATACATTGGGTTAAAAGGGACATTGAATTATATGGTTTTTTAGTATAAATAAAAAAATAGTAAGGACAAAATAGGGACAAAAAATTACACCATGATGAGGTGGTTATATTAAGTTTTGGTTTTATTAAATAGTATAGATAGTATAGATATACTTCTAACTTCAAGATAAACCGCAAAGTGCAACATATTAAAAAAAGTGGTGCCTAAAATAATAAATACACCACTATTTATTTATTATTGTCTTGCTCATTCCTTGGTACATGGAATGTAGACACCAACCAACTCTGTTTGGGAGAACCAACACATTTCAATTGTAAATCATTTTCTAGAAGTATAACTTAATAACAAAATGTACATTAATAAAATAATAAAATGAGCAACTTTCAATAAGAAACCAACCAACTTTCTGAAAGTATAACACATTTCTGGAAAATAATAAATATTTACTACATTATATATTTATTGCAGGTAAACTACACATTATAAACGATAATAAAGTGAGTTGATACCATATCTGTCAACGCCAGTAAATATAAATGTGATATTAAAAATGATATTTTTTTTCATTTTAGTAAAATAATTTATTATTACGAAGGTTATATCTATTACAAAACTCAAGACTGGGGGAGATTGGAATAGAGAGAGGGGTTCTTCTTGTAGTGAAAGATCATAATCATGTCGGGTATGGGAGACGGGTACGTGGGCACCTCCCAAGACGCGGTTAGGATCCGACGGCTGGAGAAGCAGAGAGAAGCTGAACGCCGCAAAATTCAAGAGCTTAAAACCAAGTCTGTCTCCGATAAAGGCCAGCCTGGCCTCCTCCAATTCGGTTCTAGCACTTCTGAGGTAACCTCCTTTCTCCTTCAATTCGGGTTAATTTGCAAATCGAGTTTTGAAGAGACTTTCATTTACCCTTCAAAACCCAACCAACAGACATACAATTTTACGAGTTGAGTTTTGGAGAGAAATGAAAAGAAATAGAAGAATGCAGAACCATTTCATAAGTCTAATTCATGACTCTGAAACCTTCCATTTCTGTTAATCCTCACACTCAATTCATAAATGACTATTAAAGTTGTCATTTATTTGTCTATTTTATTGATAATCTTCAACCCCTACTGAATGATTCGGGGTTTGGTGATTCAGATTCTGGAGACTGCGTTCAAGAAGGAAACCGTTGGTCTCGTCACCAGAGAGGAGTATGTAGAGAAGGTAAATATAAAGTATGAAGTACTTATCACTGGTGCCACGGAGAGATATGTTTTTACATAATCTATGTTGGTTTTCTCACTGTTATCCTCGTAGTTTTAAATTGCAAGTAGGGTGGAATAATTGTAATTTGATCCTAATGACTTTGCAAAGGCTACGAAACTGCAATATTGCTGCCACTGTTGTGGTTGTAGATTGCAATTTAAAACCTTGGTTACCGTAACATTTTCTGTTCTAATTTGCTAGAAATGACGTATATTTGTGTAGAGGGTTAATATTAAGACCAAAATAGAGGAGGAAGAGAAGGAAAAGCTTCAGAAGCAACAACAAGAGTAGGTTTTCTGTTTGTTTGAGTTGATCTTCCCTTAGTAATTCAGCTGCCACGATCATTTTTGATTACTTTCCTCTTTAAAATAGGGAGGAGGACTTTCAATTGCTAAAGCGTAAGAAGAGGAAGATAAAGGGGAAATCTCGATTGTCATTTGCTGAGGATATTGAGAATGACGGTGAAGAGGAGGAGCCAGAAGATAGTAAGCAGCTTTGCTACAATTTTTTATTTCGTTGGTTATCTTCGAATTGTTGTTTTGAATGATGGTTTGGGTTCATATAATGGGACTTATATAATTTTGCTATAGTAATGAATTATGAAATATGTTAGTGCATTTTTTTTCCCGGAAAACGTCAAATAACTACAAAATGATTTTACTTTTTTGATTCTCTTTTAGGTAGTTCCATCTTTAATTATAAGTATATCCGGAGAGATGAAGTCTATTGATGGTTTTGGTTTTGTCAAAATAATGTTTAACTTTGCTTTTCTGTGCCAGAAAGTCTGGAAACAAATAGACTAAGGCATGGCAAACTTGGCAAAGATCCTACAGTTGAAACTAGTTTTTTACCTGACAGGTATGCCATATCTCCTTTCTCTTTTTCTGTCTTACCCCCTTCCTCCAGTACCCCTGCCCTTTCTTTATTATTTTATGCCCTAACGTTCGGGCATAGGAGCGCTGAGGATTCTGTTCAGTGAGAGAGAGGCTGAGGAGGAAGCTGAACGCGAAAGGCTGCGGAAACAATGGCTCCGTGAACAGGAGCAAATTCGAAGTATGTCTGCTGACTAGTTTATTTTTTTTGTATTTAAACTCAGTTTAAAAACAGTAAAAAGTATTGCTTATGGAATGTGATTATATTAGGGAGCAGATTATGCTGCATCGCTTAGGTGATGCGGAAAAGGCTAATAACAATAAAAATTCCATGTGTAATGTTGTTCCTGTTTTTCAGGTGAGCCTCTTCAAATCACATACAGCTACTGGGATGGAACTGGCCACAGGCGTGTGATCCAGGCATGTGAAGGAAATAAGTTCCTGAACAAGTATGCATTCTTTTAATAATAATTGTATATCAGTATCTGAAGTTCTGAACTATTTCATGATGCGATTCAGGTACGCAAGGGTGACAGTATAGGAGAGTTTCTTCGAGCAGTCCAACAGCAACTGGCTCCTGAGTTCCGAGAGATTCGAACTACATCAGTCGAAAACATGCTATATGTGAAAGAAGACCTTATCGTTCCTCACGTAAGAGCATGTATCCAGTGCAATTTCATAAAGCCTGTGAATAACTTGCCATCTGATATAACCTGTCCTGAAAAAACATCCTTTAATAAAAGTATATCTTCTAATTTATCTACCCTTTTCACTGTATATTACAGCAACACAGCTTCTATGAGCTAATTGTGAACAAAGCTAGAGGCAAAAGTGGACCGGTATATTCTTTTCCTTTTACTTCCATTTATTTTCATGTTTCTTCCCTTTTAGAAGATGCTTCCCGAAATGGTTTTCTTAAATTGATTAAAGATAATTGTAGTATTCTATTTTTCAATTTCTGCTTGACGGCTACTTTCTTCCCATCCTCTGTTCTTTACTGTTCTTCTTTTATGTGAGTTGAGTTGTGCTCCACTGCTCCATTCCTACAGTATGGGGCCATTTCTTTTGTTTTCACTTCATTTGATTGCTGAGCCTAGTTACTTTAGAGGATTAGCGACAATCATTTTAAATGATTTTGATTATTAATTATGAATTTCTTTAATTGTGTATATTTTTTTTTTGCATTTACTTGTGTATATTAAATCACTTAAGTTGTTTTCCTGACTGTCCCAATCACTATAGCATTTTTGGAATTGACTACATAAAAGCTAGGTTTAGTTTATTTCTTTTTTTTCTTATGAATATTTCCTTTCTTAATATGAAATCTTTACTTCCATTAATGTATGACGAATGTACCACCCTTCATGGTTCGATTCTTTGGATTTTTTTATCCTAGAACTTCACAGAGAAAAATTAGAATTTTATTTGGATTTTCCCTTGTGGTAACTTTTGGTTTTTCTAGTAATCTCTTATGCTGTGATTATTGATGTTGCCTATGTTGTATATGTGAGTGATGCTTCAAATTTGCATTCTATCCAAATTATCTCAGCCTTAAATATCATTTCATTGCCATCTTGAACTTAAATGTTTCCCATTTTCCCTGTTATCCTGTAATGATTTGCAGTGTCAAAGTTGCTTATTGTATTTTCTGTATATACAGCTTTTTCATTTTGATGTGCATGAGGATGTCCGAACAACTGCTGACGCCACTATTGAGAAGGATGAGGTACATTTTTATACCTAGTCATTATTGCTACTGTTTTGAAATTTAAGTCAATAGTATAGTGAAAACACACATTCATTTTGTCTTTGCTTGTTGTAGTAAACTTGTATTTTTTTTGTAATAACCTAGGGTATCCCCTCACCCTATCGGTAATGAACTAATCTCTTTCGGGGTGCGTGATTGTCCGTCCTAACAAGTGTTACTCCCATGAATCGAACCTTTGACTTTCTGGTCTATATAGGGATCCAGTAAAAGCTTATATCACTAGACCAACGCTTTGTTGGTAGCAAACTTGTCTTTCAGATTCTGGCTTAATTATCTCACTTTGGTGTTTTCATCCCAACAGTCTCATGCTGGGAAAGTCGTAGAAAGGCACTGGTATGAAAAGAACAAACATATATTTCCAGCTTCAAGATGGGAGGTACTCTCTCTTTGTCTCCTGTATAGTTAATGTGATTGTTTTGCTTCCTCTTCTGCCTTTTGGCTGAAGCATACAGGTGTTTGATAAATCTCCATTAGGGTAGGAATGGTAGTTAAAATTGCGACCCCACTCGTGAGATCGCACGACTTTACGATCTTCAAGAGATAGTCCGTGCTCGATCTCGGCCCGTGCTCGACCTCCGTAGAATCGGGTGAAATCGTCGTGTTGGAACAAAGGACCGATGAGATCGACAAGCCTTCCGATTCCATCTTCTGCTAATTTTGATCTGCGACACATCTTTGTTTTCATCGCCTCTATCGATCTAGCTTTCCCTTCTCTCTCTTCTCTCTCTATCTCCACTTTCCTTTTCTCTGGGTTTAATTGTATCTTCGTTTTGTTTATTTTCTATGCATTTTGTTCTGTTACAAAATGAGCAAAATGAAGGGACGACGACTCACAACTGCCATTAGGTTAGGCCCATTTATATCTTTTGTTTAAGGAGGCCTGTTTTTTGTACAGTGAGGTGGCTTGCATGTTTTTTGGTACAGTCAGTTGGCCTATTTGTTTGTATTTTGTATGTATCTAATCCTTTTTTATTTATTTCATGAACTAAGTATTTTTTAATATAAAAGTATCTAATTTCTAAACTATTGAATGAACCATATTCACTATACTGAAATATATAATTATCTAGAAGAAAAATACTACCCAAACAATTGAAACCTTTTAAGTTCTGTATGTTGGATACTATTTATCTATTTAAAATCTTTCTAGTAAATTAGTAATATATATACATATATATATATATATATATATGTATATATATGAATTTATGTGCATATATATTGATAAGTAGGATCTTACGGGTCGTGTTTGGCTCTCCTTCCGATCCTAACTAGAATCTCGATTTTAACTACCAAGTAGGATTGTATGAACAGAGAATACCTAATTATAATAGTCTGCTTAGATAAATAGTCTCTGTGTATAGCAGCTTCTTACATAGCTTCTGATTTTGATTACTGTATTCATCTTGTATTGCAGATATATGATCCAACAAAGAAATGGGAACGTTATACCATCCATGGAGATTGATATGTGACAGCCACATAACTTTTTATCTGCGTTTGTTGCCTTAGAATATGACATCAATGTATTAACTGATGAGAATGTTGCAAATTTCTGTTTGATTTATTGTTCAAATGACACTACATAATTTCCAGGAGTTAAGACTAATGTATTATTTATAGTTATTAGAAATGCTATGGTATAGCGTCCAATTAGGCAGAAATTGCTGCTCTATTAGCACTATTAACATGTGGTGAAAACCCAATTTTTCTGTTTGGGTGTGCAAATTCTCTAAGGCAGCTATCTTTGGGAGTTATGAGGGAATGAGAAGGAGAGAAGGGGTAAAGATGGAGATGAATGGAAGAGGAAAGGGAGTTAATCCACTTTTTGTTTGGGAGTGTGAAATTTATATTAATGATAATGAAAAAATATTTTTTATTTTTCTTTAAAAATGTATTTCACAATAAGAAATAAACAATAATGTAATTATATTAGTTTACTAATTGCATTTAGATATTTTTTCCACCCAATTCTTCAAAAGAGTGACACTTTTCAAAATTATCTCTTTTCTAAAACAAGACTCCCAAATATAGCATAAAAGTCTATTTTTTAGTTGAATTTTGGATGGGAAAGAAATGAAAGACTCATACAATCTTACAAATGTATTTCATAACTCTGAATTATTTCTTTTCACTCCCTTAATGTTCAAGAAACAAAATGGAAAATGATCCATTAGATCCCCTAAAGCTCACTTGGTAAGTACAATAACTTATTGAATCCCATAAAGTACCTCAAATGAAGTATACCTGGCAGCTCGAAATTAGGTATTTTAAAGTTCAGCTTAGCACATTCAAGCTCCATTTATGCATTATGTTTATGGTTTTTTGCATACTTCTATAACCCATTGCGACAACCACTATTTTCATAATGGTTAGGGTTTTCCTCTTGTTTGCAGCCAATTTGAAACACACCCTCACTTTAGCACTAGCCCATGGTGATAGAACCCCAATTGTAGTGAAGACTGAGACCCACACATCTACGCCCAAAATGAAAAGGCAGCCAAATTGGATGAAAGATTACAATTAGTTTATAATTTCTTATATTATTATTTTTCTATATTGGTAATTTCCTTTAAGAATTATGGGCTTAGGACTGGATAGCCCAAGAACAATATTAACCTAATTCTATTATGTTGCTATTTAGTAACTATTATACCAACTATCAATGGATTAGAATTTCCAGTATATTTTTTCTTGCTTAGTTTTCTTAGTTCTTCATAGTTGCTACTAAGTTACACAAAAATCTTGTTATCAATTCCTATTATTAGTTCTTTCATTCTTAGAGTATGCCTCCCAAGCCTTCAAGCAAGAACATTGATGAAACATTACTACAGATTTTTGCATAGAAATTGTAGGAGCACAAGGAACAAAGAATACGAGACATGAGATTATTATTGATGCTTTACGTTCAATCACTGATAATTTGACAGGAATCTCTATCCTACCCCCAACCACCACACCCACCTACTATACTCTCTTCCTCTCATATCACAAACCTTAATCCCCAACACGAAATTGTACCCATCCCCTTACTCTCCTTTCACTATTTGCTTCTTATCATTCTTACCCACTTCCAAACACAAACCCTACCCTCATAAACCCCAACCACCCTAGACCACCAAAACTACAAGTAAACCTATTTGACTGTTCTGAACCCTTAGATAGACTCTTCCAAGTAGAATTTTTTTTCAAATCTACTCTGTTTCATCTGACTGGAGACTTCATATTATTTCTTTTTATATGAAAGGTGAAGCGTTAAGTTAGTTTAAATGGGCTTTCCACAATTCTTCTATAATTGATTGGGAAAGTTTCATCAAGCAGAATTCTTTAAGCTCCCCTAAACTAGTATAGTGACAGATTACCAACAACAATTTGAGAAGTTGTGCAACAAAATTTGGGGACTAAACCATGAGGTAATCCTAAAATGTTCCATTTATGGTCTTACCCCTGAATTTTAGACGTGATCTAGCAATCCTTCACCCTCACCACATTGGATAAGCATTGAGTTTAGCTAAATTAGTTGAATAAAAAATTAAAAACACCAAACCCATTTTCCAAAACAACCGAGATATATATAATGTGAAGAAGATCTTGCTTCTGATCTTTCGCGCGGTGTTGATGAAGACACCAATATCAACAAAAAGAAGAAAAATGGATAGAAGACTTGTAGAAGATGCACATTAAGATTATTGAAGAATATTACTGTCTAAGCTTACGTACTTCTAATCCTTTGAGTTTAGTCATTTAAGATTTAACAAAATGCTCTTGGACTAAAAACTATTTTTACAAAGTGTTTTAAACTTAGTCAAATCTGTTAAACTTTCAAAAGGAAGTAGTGGGTTACTAGAACCAATTAATAATGGGTTAGTAGAACCAAGTAATGGCATTACTGGATCCACGTAAAGGGTTCTTATAGAGTAACCAATTACTCTAGGAGAGTATCCAATTACTCTAGGAGAGTAACTGATTACTCACATTACAAAAACTTCTAGTAATCGGTTACCTAGTAGAGTTATCGGTTATTGAGAGTTGTTACACCAGATTTTCAAATCCAAATTGAATAGCTTTCATCCAAAATGAATGAGGTTCATTCCAATCGACTTATACCTTCACTTAAGGGTACGATGACTGATTGGAAGCCTATTTAAAGGCTCTTAGACTCCATAATTCATACACACTTCAACATTCTGTAATCAACCACTCTCTTAAACTTTCATATCAATTTTCTGGTTGAAAATCACTAAGTTTCAATAACACTTGTTCTCGAGAGTTCTTATTCTTGAGCATTTGTGATTAACTTATTAGATTTCAAGTATAGAATTGTTATACACTTTACTGCAATCATAAGCCATTGTTGTATTCTTCATCTTTGTAAAAATTTGCTGTAAAATTTCACCATAGGGTGTGGTGAAAAGGGAAAGAGTGAAACTAGAAATGGTTTGCTTATAGAGTGAGATTTGGTGACTGCATAATTAGAGACAAAATTTCAAGCTGATATTTGTAAAGATTTGTCACAACATCAAATAGTGGAAACTCTTGTGGTTGCAAGAGAAACTGGACGTAACCTTTAGTGGACGAAGGTGAACCATTATAACTTTTTTTGTGTAAACTCTTTCTTCCCTTTACTCGTTTACATTATGAATTTACTATTTTCTACAACTTAACATTTTTTGCTGCTTAATACTCTTTGTGTTTTAAAGTTTCGAAAATTAGTGAACATAGTAGAAAACAAAAAGATGTTATCAAAATATTTTCTAGGAGAAGGTTCCAACATCAATCACTCTCTAAGCTTTATTGGAGAATGCTACGATTTCTGGAAGATCCAAATGAGAATCTTTGTAGAATATCAGGATCTTGATATATGGAATGCGATTGAAGAAGGACCTTACACACCCTTTGTTATAATAGATGAAGTAAGGGAATTAAAACCAAAATATTCCTGAGATGACGAGGATAAGAAAAAGGTTCAATATGACTTGAAAGGCTAAAAACATTCTTACGTCAGCCTTAAGCATAGACGAGTTCTTTAGAGTGTCAAACTGTAAGTCTTTCTAAGAAATGTGATATACTCTAGAGACCACTCATGAGGGAACACTGAAAGTCAAAAGTTTCAGACTCAATACTCACTCACAAGAGTATGATATGTTTTGTATGAAGTCTAGAGAGAAGATCTTAAATCTTCAGAAAAGATTTATCCAGCTTACTAACCATTTGATTGCTCTAGGCAAAGTGTTGTCCAATAGTGACCTTAACCTTAAATTTCTTAGATCACTTACCAAAACTTGGCAACCTAAAGAGACTGTCATCTCAAAAAAAAAAAAAGAGTCTATCCAAAATATCACTAACTATTTTTTTTTGGAAATTTTCTGGAACACGAGTTGTAGTTAAGCCAATCCGAACATCACGAAAAACAAGATAAGATGAAGAATAAAAATATATCGTTGAAAGCAAAGGAACTAGTTGGATTTATTCATTTAAATCTTTTATAATCAGTTGGATTTATTGAATTAAAATAAATATAATTTTGGATCCTCTTTCACTTTGGGTTGCACTAAATAAGGCATTCAAATGTGTCACCACCCGATACTTGAAGAATCATCGACTAAATGACTTAAGAAGAGGTATAATGGAATTTCAATATCTCCCAAATGATTGGATTTGTCATTGTGTTTTTTGCTGTGTAAAATGTAGAAAACTCTCTTTTATAGTGAATTTGGAAAATATTATCTTTGAATTAATTAAGAAAACTATTTTTTCCAAAAAAATAATTTATGTAAAACACAATTATATATTTTTATTTGAAATTTATTTCAAAGAGATTTAATAACAGAGGATATCACATTGATCATGAAAAAATCCTCACTTTGACAAATAGTAGAGACAATATTAATGTTCACATTGGTCATAACCTCACTCATAGATTCCCAAAAATAGTTTATTTAGAATAATATTATTTATTTTTATGAGAGAAATTATTTTAAAAGAAAATTAATAGCAGAAAATACTACATTAGTCGTTAACCAACTTTGAACTTTAATAAATAACAAAGATAATACTTATGATTACAACTATTTCTATGCTCAATGTAGAAAGTAAGATACGACATTAGATGTAAGGGTGACAATTGGATAGATTTGGATTTGGATGAAAATGGATGGATGGAAAGTCATCCATCAATCTATATAAATCAATTTATACCCTATTTTAAGTTATCTAATCCATCATATCCAATGGATTATAATGACATTCGAATAATGACTATTAATTAAAATAATGACATAAAGGAAATAATACAAAATATACAATGTAAGAATTAATTATAAATTCTGAATCGTGTAGAATCCTTGCAATTCAACAACGTTTCTTTACACAAGCGTTGTTGATTAAATGCTAATCAACAATGCTTGTATAAAGGAGCATTGCTAAATAGATGCAAATCAAAAACACTTGTGTAAAGGAGCATTGTTATATATTAGATATTCAATTATTCAACAACGTATGTCTAAAGGAGAGTTTTTGAAGGTCATAATTCATATTAAGCATCTTAATGGATTAAACAATCATTAATTAATTGCTTGGGAACAATTTTTAGTTCTGTTAATCGATTAAAAAACCTTAATCGATTACCTGAACGTGTTGTATTATATGTGCTTAATTGTGTAGAATCCTTAAAATTCAATAGCGCTTGTGTAAAGAAGTGTTGTTGCATATATTCAAATCAACAACTCTTTTAGTAAAGAAGTATTGTATATTCGATGTTCAAATATTCAACAATGTGTTGGGGTATCACAGGTTATAACGACACCTAGAGTGAGTGAATAGGTGTAAGCTGACCACTATGA